CACATATATAAAAGCCTACACTCACCTACAGGTGTCTTAAAAAAACACAGAACAAAATCCAAGCCTCAACAGAGCGCTGTTCATTCCTATGGGTTCAAGAACCGAGGGTTGTGGAATGAGAACGTGCAATGATACCGGGAAGTGGGAACACGTGGCTAGAGAGGTCTCTGCAGGAACAGACGATACTGGGGCTGTCTGACCGGGAAGGAAGTATTTACCAACTTCCACACACAAAACACGGGAGACCAAGGAGCACAGGCAGCAGGAGCAGGCTGGGTGCACCAAGACACCTGGATTTCCAAAGCAGCTGGAATTCTCCCACCAGACGGGACACACGTGAACAGTAACATCTCCCGCCCCTGCTGTCTGCACGTTCCGCTAGGTTCTGTGCTGGGTCACTCGCACATTGTTTAAAAATTCACTTAACTTTTTAGTTGAAAGGCAGAGAGACAGAAACACAGAGCACACACAGAGAGATCTTCCACCTGCTGATTCACTCCTCAAATGCCTACAATGGCTGGGGCTGGACTGTGCCGAAGCCAGGAGCGTGGGACTCAATGCAGGCCTCCCACAGAGTGGCCAGGACTCCAGGGGCTGAGCCATCAGGCTGCCTCCCAGGGGGGTGCATTAGCAGGAAGCTGGCAGCAGAAGTGGAGCTGTGATCTGGACCCAAGCATTCCAACATGGGACATGGGTGTCCCAGGCGGGGTCTTTACTGTTGTGCCAACGCCTGCCCCTGCCTGCCTCTCTGTCTTCCTCACATCTGACGTCCAGCCTGCTGTGAGGACGGTTCTATAACATGAGAACCTGATTCTAGTCTTCAGTCTGTCAGTTCTGCCGTGGAACCTGCTCTGCTCTCAGAGATCCAGTCCTCTGTTCCCAGGCCCGGGCCGCCTTTCCAGCCTCACCTCCTTGTCCCTTCCAAGTCCTTGCCCAGGTCCTAGCCCAAGCTCGAGAACTTTGCAAAGCTGACCTCCTGTCTTCTAAAGCTCTTCTCCTTACCAACACCTGCCTATCGAGGTCTGGTCACTCACAGCTCATGTGGGAGGACTTCCGAACCCCAAACCTCCTTTATTCCAGGAACATCTCCTGACATCACTCACTGCTGTCTCCCCTACTAGACACTGCGTGTTTGGGGAACATCACTGTACACCAATTGCCAAAAGTGCCTGGCACACAGCAGGTGCCCAGTAGACACATTTCGTTAAATTCTGATGAATGAGTCAACGAGCAAATGGGTTGATGAAAGACACGTTGTTTGGGCACACGCTCGGGGACACCGGATTTGCACTACAGCAAGCAGACAACGCCTACTTGCTTGGCTTAATGAACTGCGGAGGCCATGCCCACTGCGACCGTGTCTCTGTGTGCTGCTGTCTATCTGAAGTGACCACACGTCTGTGAATGGCTTTAAAACTCCGTCAAAATTCAAATATCACAGACAAAATAATTCAGATTTCTAAACACCACCATTCTCTCACAGTGGTTCAGTAATGGTGCAGAGAAAGAGGTAGGGGTGTGGGGAAGAAGGGACCTGAAAAGACGTGAGAGAGCAGATCACTAGGCTGTCACTTCTCAAAGACACGCAAACTCGCTCTGTGATGCCTGCGAATTATTCTCTGTACACATGCTGCCATCCGGCCTCCACGACACAGTGACATCCTGTGCCTGCGAGTCTCACGGCTTCCATCTACGTATCCTGGCGTGCTGACTGTGCTTGTTGGTTAAAAGCAAGATCCTGTTTTATTGCTGCTGCTCTTGCTGCTCTACTTGTGTAGGGCCAGGAAATCATGGCAAAGGATGAGGGAGCCCAGGACTCTGTGAAGACAGACTGTCTGCTGCTTGCTCACCAACTCCCGGAAGACCACAGGGCCCCTGGGTTCCAGCACATCAGAGCCGACAGCACAGACTATGACAGCTAGGATAAGCACACACCAGACCCTCAAGCCTGGGGTGGGTGGGCGGTCTAGGGATAAAGTCAAGAATAAAAAAGCCCACAGGTATGGCCAGCAAGTCTACCATGCCCAGGGCTGAGGGAGCAGACGCTGAGCCACAGCCAGAGACAAGGCTAGAACGTTCCCCCAGAGAGCAGGTCCGCCGGCGCTGGGTTCTCATCAGCCAGTACAGACGTCCCAGGCTTGAGAGCCAGCGCCTTGCTCCAGAGCCGGATCTCCAGGAACAAGGCGCTGGGCCTGCGCATGATGGGCTTTTCTGTGGGTGCCTCGGAGACGCAGCCACCATGAAAGCAGCCCTGGAACAGTCAGCAGCCCGCTCGGTGCTTTCAGTTACTGACATCCCTCTCATTCCTCAACCGAGGGATGAAAACAATTAAACAAATTTCTTGTTTATTTATATAATCATCTTGATGTTCCCCAACAGAAGAACAACACACGTCTGCTTGTTAGAATAATTAAAACCATAGAAAAAACATTAAAACTATATTTTAGAGAACAAAGCTTATCAAAAAACATTTTCATAAATAGGGAATCATGCCTTAAAAAAGATTAACATATATTGTTACTAGCCAGCACATTTTACAGTAATCAATAATTTATATTAAACTCATGAATAAAAAATGCTCGTAAAAACCACCATGTCCTATGGGCTTAAGACATGTCTTGCAGGCAACCCAAGACTGAGTTTACATGGCATATTTTCCTTTTCTCAGTTTAATGGAAATACTTTATATTGTAAAAGAATTATAAATAATAGGGCAGCTAAGGAAAAATAACATTAAAACTGCAAATATCTATTAAAGGTATAATTTCTTTGGTATGTACAATCAGTTTAGTAATTCGTTTCTTTAGGGCCTTTTAGAAAATGCCGCTGCACTGACGTGGTGAGCGATTACGCAGGACTGAGCTGGTTGACTGCAAGACAGAGTTGTCCGTTCCTCAGCTATAGTAAAAATTTCCTTTTCTTTTTTTATTATTTAAACTTGAAATCAATTATAAGAAATATGAGGCTTATTAATATGCTAAGTAGTCATTCAAGTGATTTCCTGGCCTTGTGATGATTCCGAATTCCACCTTATTTTTAGCTCTCATCTTACATACAGTTATCGTGTCTAACACTGTTTTCCGATATTCCAGAACTAGAGAATTGAAGGCGACAGACTGGTCCCCTCATCTGTGCCTGCTAGGCAGCCTGAGAGCCACGCACATGTACAGTGTGTGTGTGCAGGGAGGATCAGAGCAAGTGATGATGAGAAGAATGTTTTGTGGGGCTTCCGGTACACTGATGGATCCTTTTTGACAGCAACATCAAAACGGAGCAAAAAACATAAAGATGTTCAACCTGTAACTCATTCTTGAGCAGACACTGAGTAGGTGGGATGTTGAATGCATGAGGATGTACCCGGTGGCCTTGGGTGACAGAACAAATAATGGAAAACCATCTCAGCAGAGAACTAGAGGGGCAGAAGTGCCCAGCTCAGCACCCCCTGCAGTAAACCTACAACAACCTTTAAACACAAAAAACAGTCAGGCAGTAGCATGGTGAAGCTCATGACACAATGCCAGCAGCTTCCACAATGTAACAATAATGCTGTAAACACACAGTCATGCAAACAAGAGTCAGCCATACAAAAATGAAAAGTTATCATTGTAAATATTTAATAACAGTTAATATCGATGTTATTGGCATATCATCTTTTTAATTGAGATACAACAGGAGTTATTTATTAATATACCAATTTGCTTTTAAGTTTTTTTTTTTTTAATCCACTTGGAATACAAAAAAGAAGGCTGTTGTGGGGTTTGCCTAGGGCAGGTGTCCTGACTAATGACTGTGACTTAGGTGACTCCCACAGCAGGACATGAACCACAAAGGTAGAAACAGCAGCAGCTGCTCACTTCATTCGAGCCATTCCAGCTCCTGGTCACTCCCCGGCTCCTGGAGTCCTGTGGGAATGCCGAGCCTGACTCCCCGAGCTCCGAGTTTGTGCTACATCGCTACACTGTTTAACCCCAGCAAGCAGGCTGATGACACGAACTAGATCAGGAAAGCATTAGAGCTGAGGTTTCCTAACAGGAACTAAAGTAAAACGGAAGGAAAATTTTAAAGCCAATTCCACGACAAAGGTGGCAGATTCCAAGGCTACAGCAGCGGCCAGAAGACAGCGGAAGTGCCCTTGGCAGGCTGGGGATTGTGACGGGGAGGGGTGGGGCTGGGGTGAATGTGGCGAACTGCAGAGCACACAACTGACACACGGGAGTGCGGACCTGGGCTGCCAGAAATCCAGAAGCTTTCAAGAGAGACCAGAATCAGAGACGTTCGTGTGAAATCTCTGGGTTTGCAACTGTTGACAGCAACCTGAATTGGTTCTAATAGCCACATGATAAATGCCACAGGCACTTCTCAAAAGGATGCTCTTTCTGGCAGAATTACATTTTCTTTATTAGCCATCAATGTAGGCCTCTCCTTGGGGAAAAGAGAGAAAGAAACAAACAGCAGCTAAAGCAGACCAGGAGCACAGACGTAAGCATAAATCAATGGGTGCTTAGAAACTACAAGAATCTCAGTGTTCCTGAGAAAGCAAAACCTGCAAGGATTTTAGTTTTATTTTCTGCGTAACGATTGAGGAGAGCGCCTGAGTCCTACAGAAGGTCAGCCCGAGAGGCAAGCTTTAAACTCGGTTCCCCTCTGCCAAAATCACGCTAGAAATGGCCAGAAACACAGCACCTGATCACAATGGGGTCCCCGTGAGCCACCAAATTGCACAAAGGGTCCAGAGTCGCGCCCTGCAAGGCACCTGGTATTTATGTCCCTCTCCTATCCCATTCCTTCCAACTCCCATCTCCCATCCCTGGTGCGCGAGGGCCAGGGCAGCCCTGGGGACTGCTAAGGAGGGGTGTCTGGGTGTGGCTGAGGAGCCCCCAGGAGGCCCTGTGCACAGCGCTGGACTTTGCGGGGGAGGGCGGGAGCTGTCGGAAGGAAGGGGAGTGCTGTCTGTCCAACTAACCACTTGCACCACATGCACCCAAGGAAAAAATGTTTACCTGGTGGAGCCACGGTTAACCTTTTTTCCTTGCTGAGCCGTTGCCCTTGGAGGAAGTCACCCATGGAAGGGGAGCCCTTCAGAAGAAATGATTCTGTGGAGGTGGGATCAGGGGGAACGCTTAATAAATGCTGGAGGTAGGAAGCCCCTGGCGTCCTGGGACGGCTCTGATCACAAAGGGAAGGTGAAAATTGTCTTGCAGGAGATCCAAGAAAAATACATATAGGAAACAAAAAAGTTTTACTTTAATTACCTTTCCACGCCTCACCAGTGACAACATTATTTATATTGGCATTTATTTAAAATATAATATATATATATATAAAAATCAAACTTTTTGCTAATTGCTTTAGTTTTCACATCAGGATACAACCCTGTTTGAAAACAGTTTTGGATGCTGGAAAAGAGATTTTTCAGTTAGACAGTATGAACCACCAAGAGAAAAATATCTGTATTATTTGATTCTTAAAGGACAGTTCCTAAATTAAAAAATTTTCCCATCGACTGGAAATACAGGGTAAGTAACTCGACAGCCAGAACCCTGGACAAAGGTCACAAAACCAAGTGACTAAATATTTCACGAAAGCTCTCTCTGAGCAATATTCACGTGCCCCATGAAAAAACACAAAAACCTGCTGGTACCCAAGGGACTGTTTGCATTCCACCTAAACAGACGCCCAGTGTCAGCCCGGCTCCGGTGGTGGCGACACGGACAGACCTCTCCCTAAGAACCCATTCATGTCCACTCCCCGTTCAAGAGCAACGAGAACGAGAACCCAGGTGGAACACAGCTTCCTTCCCAGGACGGACCTTTTAGGCTGGAGGTAAGGGAGAGGCTTGCTGAAGCACACCAAGAGCAGCAGAGATACGAACAGACATTGCAAGGGACGTGAGGATAAACACGAGGCGGGCTCTGGGACAGCGAGGAGTAAGACCATCAGCACAGGCTGTGATCTGGAGGGACCCGGACGACAACCAGCTGGCTCCCGCTCCGTGCCTCTGCCTCCCTCCCCTCCTCCAGCCTCCACCACGGCCACGAGAGCACAGAGATTCTCGCAGTGCACTGACAGCTGGCCACCGCACCCCGCTAATGCCGATCGCTGCACGCATACCTTTTCCTCTGAGTGCCACTGCTGCCCCGAATGTTGGGTGTCTGTGGGCCCTGACTATGCAGGAGGTAAGTGTCTACGGTGGGCGCGGTGACGGGCGCCTCCCCACTTACTTTAGGGCTGCCGAGCTTGCTCTTCCCAAGCTTGCCTTTGCTGCGCCGGGACTGCTCATGATCAAACTCTAGGTCCTCCAGCCGCTGGGTCAGGGCGAGTTTTTGCTGGATAGCCATTCGTAACAAAGTGTTCAGAGTCTTCTTCTCGTCTTCTGCGGCTGCTAACTGTCGCTGCATCTCATCCAACTGCGTGACATATTCATCACATCTGGACCAAGAGAGAGAGACGGTCAGGGAGGGAAACTTGGAGACCAAATGGGGACTTCCGCTGCAAGGCACGGGCGCCTACCCTTCCACGCAGGCCCAGTTACCACGTTCAGCTGAGCCCTGACAATACCCGGATTTATCTTGACTCTTTCAAGGCAGCGAGACCACAGTCACGTAACTTTTTTTTTTTTTTTAAGATTTTATTTATTTATTTGACAGGTAGAGTTACAGACAGTGAGAGAGAGCGACAGAGAGAGAGGTCTTCCTTCCACTGGTTCACTCCCCAAATGGCTGCCACGGCCGGAACTATGCCGATCCGAAGCCAGGAGCCAGGTGCCTCCTCCTGGTCTCCCATGCGGGTGCAGGGCCCAAGCACTTGGGCCATCCTCCACTGCCCTCCCGGGGCACAGCAGAGAGCTGGACTGGAAGGGGAGCAACCAGAACTAGAACCCGGCGCCCATATGGGATGCTGGCGCCACAGGCGGAGGATTAACCCAGTGAGCCATGGAGCCAGCCCCAGTCACGTAACTTTTACTGCAGTATTTCCATGGATGTCCTACTTTGTTATGAGTTATTGTTAATTTGGTACTATGCCTAATTAACGAATAACATTGCACCACAGGTATGGACGTGTAGGGGAAAGCCAGTACATACACGTGTTCGGTACGATCCAGAGTTTCAGGCACTGACCGGGGGCACTGTGTGTAACAGGGACTACTGTAATGAAGGTGAGTGGGATTTAGGCACTCAGTCTTCCTAGAACAGAATGGCAAGAACCTGCAGTAGAAGAACAACCACAAAGAACAGAGCAGAGAAATGGGGACACTCAGAACAGGCAACCGAAACCCAGGGACACCTGCAGAGGGCGCTGCTTGGCGGCAGCAAACAAGGCAGTCAGGACTCACGCCCATGCCCAGCTCCTTCCAGGAGGGACAATGGCTATTTCTAGGGCATAACATTGTATTCTCTGGACCCTTGTGCAAGCTGGCTATGGGCTATGCCCATAGCATCCAAAACAATCACGCTTACAAAATAACATTTCTTCCTTTATCTCTGGGTGTAGATTTTATTTTAATCTGCTACAGACTGCAGCTGCCCCTGCTGTCCATGTGGCAGGTTTGCCCGGGTTAGAAAACAATATTCTCACTGAACTCACGCTGCTCAAGGAAGCCCAGATTTTCCCAGGGTTTGATGCAGACAGCGCAGGCTGAGCCGTAGCAGGAATACCTGCCCACTGATCTTTGTTCCCCACCAAAGGTGAACCTGACCCCAGTGCTTTGAGAAGGAAGCAGTGGGGTGGAGACCTGCTCACTGGGAGTGTTTTCCTGAGTTCTCTGGCCCACCAAGATACTAATAGCAAATACCGTTCATGCATCTGCGGATCGTGACTTCACAGAGTCACCCAAAACGCATGGTACAGCTTGGTAACCAGCACTGGCCTGGGCGCTGTCAAGGAGAAGCAGGCTCTGTAGCCAAAGAAGCTGAAACGCAGGAGGGGCACCGTGATCTTCAACGCTGAATGTTCAGAGGCATAACGGGGATACGCGGGTCAGGAGAACAGTCAGAGCTTAGTAACGCACGATGTGAATCCCAGGACCTAGGACTGACTCTGGCTGGTCGGATAACCACACTTCAGAGATACTGTGGAGCAGGGCTGCTCCCATACCTGAACAAACGGCTGTGCGAATGGACAAGACTGAGACATCTGAAGCCCGGTTAAAGTATTTTTAAAACTTTTCTTCCTAAGAGGAAATTTCAGTTTCCTTGATTCTCGATGCAATCCTGGTCTGTTTCATCACAGAGGGGCCGCATCCCACCATCTCGGGGTCCCTCCAGCCAGCTCCCTGTGTTCCCTCCAGAGCCTTCCCACCACCATCTCCCAGCAAGTCAATCACCAAGCTTGCACATTCTCTGAACCAACACACGACGTAGTCCAACAGATTCTAGAAGAATTCTACTACGCCTAGGCTGTTTTCTTATTTGCAAGTTATCTTGAATCTGCAAATACAGCCAGTGATGTTTTGTGAATTTTTTATCACACAAGATGCATAATTTCTTTTTTTTGGCATGGGAGGATGGAGTGGGCACTGTACTATGATAGCAAAAGACGTATTTCAATAGTATACTGACAACCTCAGGATGCTGAAGCCTTGAACCAGCACAAGCTTAATGATTGCTTCAAGTCAGAAAATAAAATACAATAGTGCCTCATAATGAAACTGATGGGAGGAGGCAGAAACTAGTATTTGTGTAACTAGCGGGCCTTTGTGAAAAATTTGAAGTTATATATAATGTGATATATACACATACATATTTGTATATATATACATACACACACACATAATTACATCTTAGAAACCAAAATCTAGGGGCCAGTGTTGTTGTACAGTGGGTTAACTCAGCACTTGCAATACCAGCATCGCATATCAGAGAGGCCCAGCTGCCCCACTTCTTATCCAGCTCCCTGCTAATGCACCTGAGAGGCAGTACCAGATGGCCCAAGTGCCTGGGTCCCTGCCACCCATGTGGGAGACCTGCATGCACCCTGGCCCAGCCCTGGATGTTGTGGCCATTTGGGAAGTAAACTACAGAATGGAAGCTCTCTTTCTTCTCTCAGTCTCTCTGTGTTTCTCTCTCTTTCTCTCTCTCTCCCTCTCTGCTTTTAAACAAAAATTTAAAAAACTATAATTTAATTTAATTCACAAAGTATTAAAGTCTTTAATTAGCTGCTATGATAAATATTAATCTTGATAATGAAGGTACCTTCTCACACAATACCAAGGGTTAATAAACACTTTTGATATACTTTAGTCACAGAAACAGATTTCTATGGTGATAATATGAAATTTAGTTATTTTAGAAAAACATTCTTTTTCCCTACCTGGACGTGCCTTTTGTTGGTCCAGCCCTCTTGGGCACATAAGCTCTGGAGAAACATCTATTATATGCATCTGAACATATCTGTAGGGAACAGAACTGCCCTAGCCCACGTGGCCAGTGGAGGGCTCCGGAAAGCAGCACTGGTGGTTCCGGTTCAGAAGGAGGAAGTGGAAGGCCAAGTGCTCTCCTCACACTTCATGGTCCTGGGCCGTGCACCCAATACACTCAGCACCCAGGGAAACGAGGACCCACTGGGTGACTTCCAAGACTTCCCCACAGGACCACACCCAACTTTAGGAAGGCAAAGTGTTACCTTGTTGCGAACATCGCTCTCAGGGATGAGAAAGTCGCAGCGTCCTCTTTCAAAGCCTTCAGTTCGTTCCGAAGCTTGGTCATGGTTTCCGTCACCATCGCCTTTTCATTTTCATACTTGTTCTTGAGATTCGCGAGCGCCACCTCGGCTGTCTGCAGCATAAACAGCACGGGGCTTACAAGGTGCATGCCAGGACCACCCGCCCCAAAGACCTCTGCCTATCGCTTCCTTTCTCAAGTGGAAAACAGACTGGTTCAGTTAAATATTATCTAAAAGGCAGAGAGAGAGAGAGAGACAGAGACAGAGACAGAGACAGAGAAAGAGATCTTCCATTCACTGGTTCACTCCCCAAATGCCTGCTTTTGTGTGTGTGACAAAGGCCAAAGGAATTGACATCTAGGTCCAGCATCCGCATCTCAAAGTCATCCCAATAACCTTCCAGGTACAGCCCAGGATCTGCACTTCAAATGTCCTGCCCAGATCCTGATGACCTTCCAGGGGGTCCTGCCCCCTCTACCTGATAACCAGCCTCCCTTTAAGGTGGGGCAATGTCAGCCAGGCTTCCCCTGCCTGATAACTTCAGGGGGAATACTCAGAAAGGAACTTTTCATATTTATATCCAACAAGTCCTTTGTTCGGGAAGAGAAGAAGGAGAGGGGGAGGGAAGGCAAGACCCATCCTCTTTTTTTTTTTTTTTTTTTTTTTTTTTAATTTTTATTTTTGACAGGCAGAGTGGACAGTGAGAGAGAGAGACAGAGAGAGAAAGGTCTTCCTTTGCCGTTGGTTCACCCTCCAATGGCCGCCGCTGCAGCCGGCGCACCGCGCTGATCCGATGGCAGGAGCCAGGAGCCAGGTGCTTTTCCTGGTCTCCCATGGGGTGCAGGGCCCAAGCACCTGGGCCATCCTCCACTGCACTCCCTGGCCATAGCAGAGAGCTGGCCTGGAAGAGGGGCAACCGGGACAGAATCCGGCGCCCCGACCGGGACTAGAACCCGGTGTGCCGGCGCCGCAAGGTGGAGGATTAGCCTATTGAGCCACGACGCCGGCCAAGACCCATCCTCTTAAAAACCCCGGCCTAAATGTGAACTGCGCACTCTCTCTCAGGTTCTGTCTGGAGAGGCGCCCATCCATTCTTACAGATGTCCCTACCCTAATAAACCTTGCTACTTTGCTTCCAACTACTCTCTGTCTCACGCCTGAATTCTTTCTTGCGTGAAAACAAGGACCCTTTGCTTTTCCGGTAACATGGGGAGTGAACTAGCACATGGAAGATAGATTGATTTCTCTCTCTCTCCCTCTCTCTCTCTCTGTGCCTTTCTCTACTTTAAAATAAGTAAATAAATCCTTAAAAAAGAAATTAGCAAGAAAGCATAACTTCCAACTGAAATATGCTAGAATTCAAGTATTTTTGTGTCACTTGCACTCTGAAGGTGTGAAACATTAATAAAAGACACAGATCACTGTAATTTATAACATGAGTATATGAGAAGCCATAAATCCATGCTATATGTCTCAGAAAAAGAACTGAAAAAAAAAAAAACCCTATCATTTTCTAAGTCTTTGTATACTACTGGTTCAAAGTCACGAATTACAGTCAAATTGAATTCTTCATAATCTCCATAAAAGCAGAAATTCTGTGACACTGGACGAATTGAATTATTTCTTTTTCCCACATTCTGGGACATGGGAATGTCTGAAGGTCTTGGAATTACTAGTGCTTCAAATCCAGAGCCAGCCTGGCACACAGCAGGAAGTGAGACACACACACACTGAATCAGTGCACAAAACCAGCAAATCTTCAGCAACTGCTTGTCTGAGACACAGCACATGGTATGCATCTGGGATTCAAACCAGACACACAGTTTTTACATAAGGTAGACCAGACATAGAAAAAACATCTAACACCCAATGAAAAAGCCCATCACTAGTGAAAAAGCCCCATCACTGATGGGATTTGCCAGGAAGACCACCCTGGCTTTTAACGTGTCATCTGGTGTCTGGTGTGGATAACTTCAACTTCCTTACACAAACTGCCGAGGTCTGTAGACACAGATGGCTGCCCTGTTTTAATGAACCCAATGGCAGTGTTAGGCAGGAAGTCAGAAATGGAGCCTATGTGTGTACGAGACAGGCCTGAAGACCAGCCCCTACTGCGGAAGCTCCAGAAGCCCAGCATCTTGCACTTCAAGGTCCTGCCCAGACCCTGGTGACCTCCCAGGTGGTCCCAGCCCTCCCCCAAAGAAAGCTCCCAGGAGAATTCTCTCCTCAGGACCAAAGGGGTTACCTGATAACATGGGGCAATAAAATCTTCTCAGACACCCTAAGGGAAGACCCCCTACTCTGCTGGGGAGCCAGCAAATCTGGGGAGGAACTTGTTAATTTTTACCCAACACACCCTTCTGCCAGGACTCTCCATCCTTTGTCCTGGAGGAGTGGGGGAGGTGGGTAAACAGACTCCCTTAAAAACCTAGAGAGTCCAACTGGACTGCCTGCTCAGCCCTCTGCCTCTCTGCTGAGCCTCCAGCCTGGCCTCCCCAAACTGCCACAATAGCTGGGACTGGTCCAGCCCAAAGCCAGGAGTCCAGAACTCCACCGGGGTCTCCCATTTAGACAGCAGGGGCCAAGCACTGGACCATCCTCCACTGATTTCTAAGGGACACTGGCAGAGAGCTGGGCAGGAGGTGGAGCACCTGGAATGTGGTTGGTGCTCCAATATGGGATGCAGGCAAGTCCCAAGTACATCACAAGTGCTGCTTTAACATACTGTGGTGTAGTGCTGGCCGCAGCTGTTGAGTTTTTTAAACATTTAGATACATATTCTTTTAGAACAGATCTTTAGTTAAGTTGTGAAAATGCAGATGCAACAAATAAGCTAAACCACAGAGTGACATGGTCAGCGTCTAGAGGGAGGACAGGGGCAGATGACAGAGGCTGAGACCTGCCACAGACAAGCTCATTCCCTGCCCGTGAAGTGCCCCAACACCCGGCTTTGCTTGTGCATTCGTTTGCCCACACACAGCACCAACCTTCTTCAGAACCTAGTAACGCAGAGTAGCTGTGACCCGTCAGCACATTGGCTGATGTCTGCACTCACTACGTTCTCCAAAGCCAGCTTTGTAAATAACGTTTTTCTAAAAAAATCAAATTTCCAGCCACAGAGACCTCACAAGCACCCCCTGAAGCCACCACCCTGTTTCATCTCACTGGTTCCTCCTGCCTTCTGGGCTTTCTGTCCCCTTCTTGTCCTTGAGGGACAAACCCAGGTGTGACAGTGTTGGTGACGTCTTTCCTTAGGAAACACAGACAGCTTCCTCTGCAACGTCCCCATAACCTGGACATGGGCACGCGGGACGTCCAACTGCAAGTGTCCGTCTGTATTCCGCCACCCACCACGGCCCAGAGTCCTCTTGGGGAAGGCAGGGGCCGTGCATTTGCCTTCTTCGGTTCTTGAGCGGCAGGCACAGATTAGGATATGACATGGGGCTCCATCCACACTTGCTTATTTCGTCAGAAGACACTATCTACCAAAAAAGCCTCAAGTACAACAGAAAGCATGATGGGAATACAGAATGCCTATTTTAACACAGGAAGATTCCCCTTCTCCCCATACCACAGAATTCTCCTCTTGGCCTTCATAAATAGCATTTCACAGTGTCTAAATATAATGCATGACATCTGCTGATACTGATGCTATTTATGGCACATCAGCACCAAAAAACAGACCTAACGTCATTCAAATGTAGGAGGGGTCTTCAACAGGTTCACGGAAGATGCATACGATGGAGACAGTATGCATCAATTTCAATTTTTTACTCCAAGATAAATGCACCTTTTAATTCCATTTTCTCACACACTCTTTGAAGTGCTCTCCTGGGACAAATGCATGGCTAGAAATGTGTTTTCCTCTCATTTTTTACTGAGACCATGTGGGCTGTGTCTCTAATGTAATGCAAATGCTACCACAAAGTACTGTGCAAAGAAAAACTCAGCTCGGGAGGCTCCCATCTGTTGGAATCCCGACAGCATGGTTTATATCCCTCCAAAACCCTGGGCACTTCTGTCCTGTACGCCATTAGCCAATGCCTAGCAGTTTAGTTCTGCATCCCTGGAGAATGCCTGCTCAGCAAGGAGTCTCTCAGGCTTCCTATCCTGCACGTCAGCTTCAGTGCTGGGCTGTGACACTTCAGCCCTCAGGAGGAAGCCTTGACCAAGAGTGCTGCAGGATGGTGCGTCGGGTTATAGAAGAGTCACACTAAGAAATTCCTCTACTGTGGCCTAAACTGGAATCAGATCCTTAGACTCTACAGTCACCCAAATCACATGTACTTCCTCAGGGTGACAAAACAAAGCTCCGTTTTGATCTTGGAGTTTATATAAAACACGTGCATAGTGCGAGTAATATGACCGCTTGTGGAACAGACCTCCGATTTGTCTCCAGGGACTGAGAACTGGAGATGAGGAGCAGAAAGCTGCCTGGTAGATAGATGACTTCACTACAGTGTGCCCCCCCCCCCCCCCCCCCCCCCGATGAAGGCAAAAGGAAACCGCGTCTGGATCTGAAGCGACTTCCTTCTCCAGGGAGTAGCAGCTCCAGCCCTCTGCTCACCAGCACCGCCCGCACTTGCACAGGGCCATCTGACGCCTGCTGCTTCTCATTCCGCTGTGCACAGTCCCTCGGCCCCATCCTCAAACCCGTGCTCCAAGGCCATCTTTCAGAGCAATAACCGAACAGGAGTTAACAGTATTTCTCCCATACTTCATAGCACTTCCACCGAGGTTCGACTCAAGGACAGAAAATATGCTCAGACATCAGGGAGCCCAGAAAATCAATCAGGCAGGTTCGTGCTGTAACATTCCTACTCATTCCTCAAAGACAGAGCTATGGTCAGGAAAAACTCCCTATTGCTTAAGCTCTGACTCAGGTAACTTAACATTGCAACTGACCCCAAATTTCAGGTATGTGGCCACTGGTAGAGCTAGGGCTCATATACTCTCACTCCATGTTGCTAACGGGGCTCCACACTGTTTACCTCCTGGGAACAGTCTGCCTCCTTGTGTTTCTCTCTCTCATTCCACCCCACTCTCACCCTCTGACCTGTCATCCCTGAGCCCCTCACTCAATGGTTTATCTACGACTTGTTTCTCTAAGTCTAGGATGAAAGGCATGGCATGCCTTTCCTATCTGGCTATGCATCTTGAACCTGAACAGCCCTCACCCCCTCAACCCCCTCACCCCCTCAACTCCCCACCCCTGCTCCAAAGCTGGGTCCTGGCTATCAGCTCTCAGACTCCTGCATCGTGTCTGACGGATGCTCTGCTGCGTGCTCCAGCCGCCTGCCAGGGCAGCTGTCTCTCTGGATGGTGCAAGCTGCTACACCAGCCCACACCAGCTCTGGCTTCCACACTTAGCATCACCCAGGCTGCCTATCTACCCCTGCACTTACTCCATCACTGTTCCTCCTTCAACCTTCTCTGCTCTTCCTCCACCAAGCTGGGCACACCTGCTCCTCCTACGTCACCCATCCACTCAGGATAATCACCACATTGAGATGTGGCCCTGGGCCAGGGTCTGCGGTAGCCTCCCACTGCCCCGGAATCGGAACTCTCATCTCGAGCACAGTGGATACTCAGTAGTCACAGGATCGACGTGTTAAGGCAGCTCTGCGGAGCAGGTTACCTGCTTGTTGGCTTTCAACACTGCCCTCAGCGTGGCGATCTGCTCCCGTTTGGTGCTCAGCAGGGACTTGAGCTTGAGGATCTCCTCCATTAAGGCCTCCTTGTCTTTATCAATCATGGGGGCCAGCTCCCGGGCCGCTGCTCTTTGGCGAGAGAGTTGCAAGGACCGGTCCACAGCCTTCTGCAGGTGCTTGATTTGGTCCCGGATGATGGCATTGAGGTTGTAGATGTTCATTGGCTCTTTGCGGATGTCGCTCGTGTCTAATACTGGAGATGAAGGCGGGGCAGTGATGACAGGAGAGATGGTGGGGGTCTTGGTTGGACTGGGTTCTTTGCTGGCCTCTGTGTTGTCTTTTGAAACTGGTTCAGATGAGGTCCTTGTTTCTACGGGGGACGACACGCCCCGCCTGGCCAGTCGTGGCGACAAGAGTCCCCTGGGGTCGTCGGGCCCCTTGAGGCTGCCGCTGCGGGTGACTCTGCTCTGCCTGTAGTAGTCCAGCATGACCCTGTTGGGGGTCTCATTGTTACACAGACACACGTGGTGGTACAGCTGAGCCAGCTCCTCACTGAACGTCACCAGCTCGTCCTGGGCTGTGTTGAGGGTATTGTGATTTTCGTTGGCGACGCTGGTCACCTTCTGCAGCTCCTTCTCCATGTGGGCCATCTTCTCGCCGCTCTCCTTGGTGGTCTTCTCAAGGTTCGTCACCTGCTCATCATACATCTGGATCTTGCTCTCGTACTTGGCCTTCTCTTCGGTGTAGTTCTCTACCGATTTGTTGTATTTCTCCTTCAAAGCCTTAATTTCTGCCTTCAAATCGATCACCTCGGTCACCGCCACCCTGTACTTGCACTCGAGGATCTCTAAGCCATTGATGTCCACCTCGTAGTCGTGGGCCTCCTCCCCCGAGTCCCGGCCCTTCTCCCCGTCCAGCTCGGCCCGGAACTCCTTGCTGCTCTGCAGGCCCCTCATGGCGTTCACATGCTCCGTGAGCCGGTGCACCCGCTCGTGCTGCTCCGTCAGCGCCCCCTTCGTGTGCTCCAGCTGTGTCTGCGACTCCTGCAGGTTGGCCAGCAGGATGGCCTTTTCCCGCTCGACCTGCAACAGCGAAAGACAACCTCTGAACGACTTGGTGACCACAACCCACTCACAGCCGGGCAAGGGCACACGTACAACCCCTGCACCGGAGCCAACAGCCCCATTATTTCAAATTAAGCTGCAGTGTGTGTTTTATTTCAGCAGTTCTGGTAAGTCAATCTAAAAATACATCAGTCATAATAGGGTACTTGAGGAGTAGCCAAGCTAGCTGAATGTTTTATGAGGGTGATGAGAAATCTGCTAAACATTCTAATACTGGCATTGTAAGCAAGCTCTGTGAGCACGGACTGCAGGAGTTCTGCTGTTTTTTCCCTTGAAAATTAAAGGAGTTTTCCTCTGAACGGTCTACATACTATTTGACTTATAACATGATTACAGGTAAAATGTTTCCAAAAAGCCCTTCAGTGGGAAAAGGCTGGGGATAAAATTAGATTTAAAAAATGCGCTGTGTCACAGGTTTGTTTTAGATGTAAAAGCGTTATGATAAATGAGGTGATGGCTTTAGAAGTTTGTATGTACTCTGCTAGTTCATTTCTGACGTAAACATTTTCTAAGTCTAAAAGGATAAATACACCAGCACCTCCAAAAAGCATCAAAGAGAGCATCCTTCATGTGTGATGTCCCATACCCATTTCTGATGGAATCAAGTCAACAGCACCCGAATTTTATATATATTCCATTCCCTCTTCCCAGTCCACCCCCCAACAGAAAAAAAGGAAAGAAGAAGAGAATGATTAGTAAATCACATATAATCTTCTAAAATTCTGTTATTATATTTTCATCTAGTGATTAAGCTCAGAGTACCTTAAGTCACATATGGATTTTGAAGGCTAGGGGCTTAACCTAAGATTCATTGTGCTTTGAATTCATAAATGCAGAGCACTTTAAGGTTTAAAATTGCTATACATTTTAAGTGTTTCTATTTTAATCTCCACTGTGAAGATCTTATCCAAGAGAGACTGGCGGAGTTAATTATAGTCTTCTATAGTGACTAAAGATAGCTGCCTTATTTCACTTCCTACAATCTTCATCTTTTACCTAGAACCAGGTTTTGTTTCTTCAAAGCACGGCTGGTTATTTTGTCAGAAAACCTGAACACGATATTCGTAAACTGTTTAGTACAGGTATACAGTATATATTAACCATTATTATTGTTGTTACCATATCCTACATAAAACAGTTTTCACATTTCACAAAATGTCTATCTTTTCACAAAAATGCTTTTGTTTTAAACTCTTATAGAATGTACAGCAAATTACCACTAATGGCACCTTTTAAAGAAATTATGTTTATTATAGGAAAGGCAGAGAGATAAAGACACAAACAGAGAGAGAGGGGTACGGGGAGTGATGTTTTCTGTTGATTCAGTCCTCAAATGCCCACAACAGCCAGAGCAGAGCCGGGCTGAAGCCAGGCTCCTAGAACTCAATCCCGGGTACTCACGTCAGGGCAGGAACCCAGGCACCCGAGCTGTCACCACTGCCTCCCGGGTCTCTATCAGCGGAAGCTGCAGTCAGGAGCCAGAGCTGCGCACCAAACCCCAATATGGGAACAGCGCACCCCTACTGCTGCAAGCCCAAATGCCGGGCCCTAAAACTGTCTTTCGAAGAGGAGATCCAAACAACACAACTCTTTCTCCATATCCATAAGGATACGACAAAACACATGAATTTTAGTTTTACAGAAATAATATTATTTTCTCATATTACATGTGAAGTCAAATGTACGATGTAATGCTGGAAAAATGCCAAGTGCTTTCTCCTGCTGAGTCCGACTGCCCAGCTGAGCAGAGGCTGCTTATCAAAGGCAGAAACCTCCGCACAGGCACGGAGGACTCCTTTACATAGATCAAGGAATCTAATTAGTTTTTCCAGACAGGATCCACTTATTTTCACTCTAATAAAACTAATTAAGGTACTTGACTGTCACTGGAAAATGTCAATTTTAATCTATTTGAAATAACCAGGTCTTGAGGACAGCAAAATAATCTATCCAATAATATCCTGAAAAATTTCTCCCAGCAAACAAAGGATGATACTAACTGAGCTGCTCACTCTCAAAGCCTGCCGTCAGGTTTATAGCGACTCTTGGAAGGATAAAACGCTTCCCTACTGCATACTGCGCATGTGCTTCTGTGTTATGTGAAAGCTCGCATGTCTGATGCCATTTATTTTTATTTTTATTTTTTTGACAGGCAGAGTGGACAGTGAGTTGGACAGTGAGTGGACAGTGCCGTTGGTTCACCCTCCAATGGCCGCCGCGGCCGGTGGGCTGCGGCCGGCACACCGTGCTGTTCCGATGGCAGGAGCCAGGTGCTTCTCCTGGTCTCCCATGGGGTGCAGGGCCCAAGCACTTGGGCCATCCTCCACTGCACTCCCTGGCCACAGCAGAGAGCTGGCCTGGAAGAGGGGCAACCGGGACAGAATCCGGCCCCCCGACTGGGACTAGAACCTGGTGTGCCGGCGCCACAAGGCGGAGGATTAGCCTAGTGAGCCATAGCGTCAGCCTTCTGATGCAATTTAAAATATTCTTATAATTTATTACATAACCTAGAAAAAATTCTGGGGAATGAGCATTATTTTAAAAATTCATTTTTGTTTATTTGAAAGGCACATAGACAAAGAGAGGGAGAGAGAGACAGAGACAGAAAGACAGATAATCCATTGGTTTACTCCCCAAATGCCTGCCACAGCCAGTGTTGGGCCAGGACAGAAGCAGGAGCCCAGAACTCCAACCGGGTCTCCCAGGGTACGCATTAGCAGAAAGCTAGACCTGAACCCAGGCCCTGTGACATGGGATGCGGGTGTCCCAGACAGTGCCTTGACTGCACTGCAACCCCTGTCCTAGTGTTGTCTTTCAATTCAACTTTTCTACAAACTTGCTGAAGCACCCTCGTTTAGTTCTGTGAAACACCCACTCCCCTTCCTCTGGGAAGGAAAGCATCTCCCAATTCAGACACAGGCGGCCCCTTGCCTCTCCCCATTGTGTCTGTGGTTTATTTCTTGACTGTTTATGAAATGGTACTGGGGATCTTCCTGGCACCTCAAAAACTGGCGGCAGCTTCCCGGACAATAATAACTCCACGGAACATTTTTCACTTGCACCTAATTTCTTCGTTGTCCCCGCTGCTCTTCACAACCTTTCCACAGAGGCGCTACCTCCAGGGTCTGCACAAACTTCGTGGAACATGCATATCATGAAAAACACTATGTCTGCGTTTCCAAGCTTTGACATCAAAATTAACCTTTTAATTCATTTTCCATGAACTTTTTAAGGTACCTGGGAAACCCTGCAAGACGTACTTGACACGACTCTGGGAGGCGCCACGCAAACCGGCGTCCTTAGAGGCTTCTGTGCAGCATTTACCACACTGTCTCCCGCAGGATGCCAGCGTCCCCTGACACAGGGGACCTGATGTCCTTGTGTCTCTACTTGCAAAGGGGCTGTGGGGCTCCCTGGTTCCCATCTCTTTACAAGCGAGACGCAGGGAAGAGAGCGACTCAGCCAACACTCCCGACAGCCATTGCCCAAGAAAGCAGAGATGGCTTCTTAAAGAACCAGGTTAAGGAAATCCCTAAAGATGGGAAGCATGATTCATGGGCTACCAAGACAGAAAACAGCACATGGCTCAGGCATGCTGCTCTCAAAAGGGCTCTTTTTTAAACAAAAATTTAATCCACAAAAAATTGTGCATATGTGTTGTGTACAACATGATGTTTCTTTTTTTTTTTTTTTTTTTTTTTTTTTGACAGGCAGAGTGGACAGTGAGAGAGAGAGAGACAGAGAGAAAGGTCTTCCTTTGCCGTTGGTTCACCCTCTAATGGTCGCCACGGCCGGCGCTCTGCAGCTGGCGCACCGCGTTGATCCGAAGGCAGGAGCCAGGTGCTTCTCCTGGTCTCCCATGGGGTGCAGGGCCCAAGCACTTGGGCCACCCTCCACTGCACTCCCTGGCCACAGCAGAGAGCTGGCCTGGAAGAGGGGCAACCGGGACAGAATCCGGCGCCCCAACCGGGACTAGAACCCGGTGTGCCAGTGCCACAGGCAGAGGATTAGCCTAGTGAGCCATGGCGCCGGCCACAACATGATGTTTCCAAATATGTATACAATGCAGAAAGGCTAACTGGAGCTAATTAATAGATGTATTACTTCCACATATTTATCGTTTTTATAAATTTGTTCCCAGGGTCAGTGCTGTGGCATAGTAGGTTCAGCGTACACCAGTATCCCATGTGGGCACCAGTTCCTGTCCTGGCTGCTCCTCTTCCTATCCAGCTCTCTGCTATGGCCTGGGAAAGCAGTAGAAGATGGCCCTAGTCCTTGGTTCCCTGCACCCTTGTGGGAGACCCAGAAAAAGCTCCTAGCTCCTGGCTCCGGCCTACCCAGCCCTGGCTGTTGCAGACATCTGAACAGTGAACCAGTAGATGGAAGATTTCTCTCTCTCTCTCTCTCTCTCTCTCTCTCTCTCTCTCCACACACACACACACACACTTCTTTCTGTCTCTGCCTTTCAAATAAATGAGCAAATATTTAAAAAATGAGAGAGAGAGAGACAGACAGACAGAGAAAGTCTATCCACTGGTTAACCCACTGCACCACAACATTGACTCCACGAATAACTGTTTTTAAGATTTATTTATTTGAAAGGCAGAATGACAGAGAGAGAAAGAGACAAAAGACAGATGGATGAAGATCTTATATCTGCTGCTGGTTTACTATCCAAATAGTCCCAATATCCAGGACTATACCTAGCTGAAGCCAGGAGCCTCAAATTCCATCCAGGTCTCCCACTAGGGTGGCAGGGAACCAAGGACTTGGGTCATCATCTGCTGCCTTTTCAGGCACATTAGCAGGAAGCTGAGTAGAAAGCAGAGGAGCCAGGACCTGAACCAGCACTCTGATGTGGGATGCGGGTGTCCCAAGTGGTGGCTTAACCTGCTGGGCCACAAGCATCTCCACTTTTTTATAAATGTTTATTTTTCTTTTTATTATTTTTTAGAATATTTATTTGAAAGGTAGAGTTACACAGACAGAGATCTTTTGCTTGCTGGTTTATTCCCCAAATGGTCCCAGTAGCCAGGTCTGGGCCAGGCTGAAGCTAGGAGTCAGGAGCTTCTTCTCGGTCTCCCACCTGGGTGGCAGGGGTCCAGGAACTTGGGCCATCTGCTACTGCTTTCCCAGATGTGTTAGCATGGAGTTGGACTGGAAGTGGAGCAGCCGGGACTGGGACTGGCGCCCATACGGGATGCTGGCGCTGTGGGCTGCAGCTTGACCCGCGACGCCGCAGTGCCAGTCCCTATTTATTTACCTAAAAGGCAGAGCCACAAAGGGGGAGATCTTTCAGCCAGTGGTTTACCCCTATATGTCTGCAGCAGCAAGGTCTAGGTCAGGCTAAAGCAGGAGCCTGAACTCCATCTGGGTCTCCCATGTGAGCGGCAGGGGTCCAAGCACATGAACTATTACCTGCTGCTTCCCAGGATGCACTGGCAAAAAGCTGGACTGGAAGAGGAGGAGCCCAAACTCAAACCAGCACTCCAGTCTGGGATGTAGGTGTCCCAAGCAGCTGCTTCACCCACTTTATCACAATGCCTGCCCCACAATGCACTGTTATTAACTACTGCCCTACAATGCATTGATTACCGCCATCGCCAGACAACAGATCTCTTGAACTTATTATTCCTCCTGTCCAGCAAGGGGGTCCTTCTTAATCACAAGATGATTTTCAGTTCTGCATGCTGCCTGGCAGAGGGCATCATAGCAACAGCCCTGCCCATCACCATCTTCACAGTGCCAACACCAACCCGGCGCAGGAGCCGGCACACGGCCTTCACTCAGACGTGGTGCCTGGGGCTCCAGTCATCAGACACCCTAAGAGCACAGGGGATGGTGAAAATACAAACCTTCGCATCCCAGGTGTGCTGAGCAATGCGAAAGGAGGAGCTGCCCACCAGCACAGCAGGTGCTATACCTGCAGGAGCCATGCTTTCAAAATGCAGAGAGGTCCAAGCAAGGTCCTTCGGAAGTCACGTGGTGGCAATCTGCAGATTCTGCAGAATCTCAGATTCTCAGGTAGCACCAGGGCATCTGCGTGGCCTGCGTGGAGCCTCATTTTTCTCTCCGTGTGAATACGCACATGTTGCACTACATGAATGTTAGCATCCCAGGATCCCTGGGGCCACATCTGACTCCAGCAGGGACCTCACAACAGAGTTGCCTTTCTACATTCTGAAGATTTAACTCCAAATTCCAAAACTCACCTGGCCCAAGTGTTTCCAACCGCCATATTCCAGTGCCTGCTACCAGCCCCTCTTGAGGTCGCCTGGAATAGTGGGGCTGGCAGGAGAGACATCACTCGTGACTCACATACTGTCACATCCCAGCCAAGTGTCATCAGCATCAGAGCCAATTACAGTAATCACAGGCAATGTCTCCTGTGATGCGCTTACCATCTTTCCCTCTACAAATTAAACCCGAGGGGATGTACAGCTAAGCGGAAACTCAGACTGTAAAGAAACAATGCATGAGAAGAAATGTTTTCTGGGACTACGACCCAACACTCTGAAATATATTTTTAGGAAGAGTTGATATGCTGTTTTTAAAAATGCTGATTATAAGATAAGTGATTACTTTATTCAAACAAACAAAAAACAACAACTAGAAGTCAGTGTTGCTGCCTTAATGCTATTTAATCTGGAGCACAGACTCTTTGGAATATATCTAGCATGTCAAACTTTCTCAAGAGGAACTATCTTTTCTATTTCTACCAAGCTGTTGTGTTAGCGTGTGCTGAGCAAACAGGATATGAAGATATTACTTACATAGAACTGTACTTTCCAGCCAAGGGAGTCTGTATGAAATTCATTGTTTTTAGAGATTTATTTTATTGACAAGTAGAGCAACAGAGGGGGAAGGAGAAGTTCCATCTGCTGGTTCATTCTGCAAAGGCCCACAATGGTCAGGGATGGGCCAGGAACTCCATCCGGGTCTCTCACGTGAGTGGCAGGGGCCCAAGCACTGGGGCCATCCTCTGCTGTCTTTCCAAGTGCAACAGCAGGCAGCTGGACTGGAAGCAGAGCAAGCAGGAATCTTGCTTGGATAAGGGAACTCTGGTATGGGATACAGGTGACACGGGCAGCAGCTTAACCCTGCTGTGTCAAACCCCAGCTCCATGAGATTAATTTTCTTTCTCTGGGTGTACCCTTTCATCTTGACTCAAATCAAATACTGCAAAAATGTGTTCTCTTTCAGTAGCCACAGCCTTGGGCGTGTGCGGTGCAGGATATGCTAACTTTTGATACGCTAATAAAAGCAAACAAGTTAACAAATGGACTTCCCTGGCTCTCTAATCTCTTCCTACATCTGCCAATTTAATTTTTCAGTCATCTTTTCTTTGGAGGCAGAGAATCACAGCTCTGTTCACCATAAAAATGAGAGACTGCCATGGTCTTAACAAGCCTCTAATTATCAGCTATACATGAAGACCTGGGAGCAGGTGCAGGGAACCCTTTTCCTGCCAAGGGCCATTTGGATAGTTCTAACATCATTCGTGGGCCACACAAAAGGATCAACTTAAAAATGAGCCTGCTATAGATTTACTGAATTTCAAGTCCTGTCTGTGGTGGCTTTGGCAAGGCCAGACCAAATGATCTCACCATCCTTACATGGCCAACGGACCTTAAGTCCACTAACCCCGTCTTGGAGGCTAAGAATGAGACTGACAGTGAAGCCTCCAATTTCATCACTTAGGGAACTCGCGAACCCCTGGCTCAGAACATCGACGAAGAGTCCAGCAGTGCACGGTACAAAGAAGCCGCTGGTGCTGGCACTGAAGCTGCTGCTACTCCCCTAGAACTTCCATCAGCACCAGGCCCAGGCAGGTAGGAGCAGGGATCAAGAATGCAAACAGGAAATCCTTCCACAGGGACGCAAGGCTAAAGGTCAGGACCCTTCCCAAGTCCTTTCTTTTGAAGATGCTCAACATGTAGGGCGTAGCTCATGTTTCACATTTCCGCCTGTTCTGCATTCTTAAATCATATGACATCCGGACTAATTTGTATACAGAAAGCCCTTTGTGTCCTTCAAGGCCTTAAGTATTGTGGTGAAATGGAACCATTCAGTGGAAGCTAAGGGTGTGGGAGTTGCGGGGCGGGGTGGGGGGCAGTCATGGCAAATGCACTTTCTGATATCTCACTCACTGTGTATAAAGCCATTGACAACTTCTGTCAGAAACACGTCAAGGCGCTGTCATTTTTCACACCTGACTGCAAGCTCATTTGCGGTTCTAAAATATTCATTTCTTATGGTGACACAAATGACAGGTTCCTCTTCATCACCCCTCCCATCACGTCGTCCTAAAATATTGCACTCTGGAAGCTTCTGGCTGAGTACGCAGTATGTAAGGAGGCACTGCGGAGCAAAACATGAGACCGGCCACCCCCATCCTGCCCCACGCGAGGCACCCACCTGCATGCGGAGCAAAACATGAGACCGGCCACCCCCATCCTGCCCCACGCGAGGCACCCACCTGCATGAGGAGCAAAACATGAGACCGGCCACCCCATCCTGCCCCACGCGAGGCACCCACCTGCATGAGGAGCAAAACATGAGACCGGCCACCCCATCCTGCCCACGCGAGGCACCCACCTGCATGAGCTGCTGCTTCAGCTTCTGGATCTCGGAGACGTTCAGCTCGCTGAACAGGTCCGAGACGGGGTGCAGGGGCTCCCCTTTGCGCAGGGCGGGCGGCCGGTAGTCTCCGTTCAGCTTCACCAGGGGCCCGTGGATGTGGCCGTTCATCTTGTCGTCGTTGTTGGGCTCGCTCCCGTCCTCGGCAAACTTGAGCCCGTCCACGGAGAGGCTGACGTGGTTGTCGCCGAGGCTGATGTACTGCGACAGCTCCTTGCGCAGGCTGTTCTTCTGCTCCCGCTCGTTCTTGAGGGTCTCCAGGGCCTCCTCCAGCTGGTGCTCCGCGATCTCCTTCAGCCGGGTGGCGTCCTCCAGCTGGCTGTTGAGCAGCACCGTCTCCTCCTCGAACCGCTTGATCTCATGCTTCAGGCCTTCGTACTCCACCTGAATCAGATAGGACAAGGAAGATTCACACAGCTAAACTTTAGGTCCCACCAATCTGCCTTGAAACCCACCAGTGCACTTAACCGTTAAAACTAACAGTGCTCGTCTACAAAACAGATCATGAAGGCGCACTGTGCACCTTTCAAGTGATACAGTAACTTACACACATATACATATGTATACATAAACATACATACATGTATCTACCCATGCATATGTACCTTACCATGCATATGTACCTTACACACATATACATATGTATACATAAGCATACATACATGTATCTACCCATGCATATGTACCTTACCATGCATATGTAACTTACACACATATACATATGCACACATAAACATACATACATGTATCTATCCATGCATATGTAACTTACCATGCATATGTAACTTACCCATGTATACAGTAACTTACACACATATACATATGTATACATAACATACATACATGTATCTATCCATGCATATGTAACTTACCCATGCATACAGTAACTTATGCACATATACATATGTATAAACATACATATGTATATAATTATGTATAAACATACATACATGTATCTACCCATGTATAGCATGCATGCATAGAAGCAGATATAATGCAACATAAAGACATATGATTCATGATACAAATATATGGAACATACACATGTAATTTAATTCTTAGCAAGATGAACAAGATGTCTGTTCCCCTTGGGATTTCTTTTATAGGTTTCCATGGTCACAAGGGGGCAATGTCTGCCTAACAAGGCAGGGATGTTTTTGGTAATCATGTGTCAGACTATTCACACTCCAGGCAAAGTTTTTACGGTCATCATTAGTTCCTTTCATTTGGTTACTCAGTAAAACGGGTTAGAGGGTAAGATGAGAAAGAAAAGAAAATGTGTACATGCTAAAGCATAGATTCTGGGAGAACAATTACAAGGCATCCAGTAACAGACCACGTCTATATTAGCATCAACACAATGAGTCTGTTCACACACTCTCCTGGGCAAGAAAGCACACAGGTGGCGGGGACCTGGCTTCTGAGCCCACCCACCTGCCTGCCTCAGGGCTCCTCCACGTCCCTGTCACAGGCGACCTCTCAATCAACTTTTCACCTCCACAACTACCCCGTCTTCTCGGTACAGAAAGTACATGCTATTCACCTAAGCATCCCTATGAGTGCTCCAGTGCTCCTTCCTCAAGCTTAAAACAGAATTCTGTTCATCAGTATGCCTTTGCTGGATAACAGAATACTGTGACCAAAAAATAAACCAGAAAAAATAATAAGTCCTCGTGATAGCAGATGCAAAGATAAACTGGGTTTAGTTTTATATGTATTTTATTTTAACATTTATTGGATTTATCTGAAAGGCAAAGTGACAAAGAGACAGAGAATGAGACCTTCTATCTGCTGGTTCACTTTCCTAATGGTCACAATAGCCAGGGATGGACCAGGCTAAAGTCAGGAGCCTGGGACTTCATCCGGGTCTCCCGTCTGGGTGGCAGGGGCCATCTTCCTCTGCTTCCCCAGGTGCATGAGCAGGGAGCTGGGTGGGAAGCAGAGCAGGCAGGGCTCACACTGGCGCTCGATGTAGGATGGCAGTGTCACAGGCAGCAGCTGAGCCCTCTGTGCCACAATGCTGGCCACTGTATTTACCTCCCCATTTATAGCAGTTTGAACTTGAATTTTAAAGAAAAAGATCTTAAAAACTGAAGAACAGGAATCATAGGCCACCAGCACTTTTGCTTATTTCAACTGCTCTCCTATTCTTTGTACAACCTCACGTAATCGCTTACCTGGAAAAGGTTAGGGTACAGGGCGAGTTGGGATGGGGGTTTGGCTGGAGTGGCAGAGACCCGAGTGAGGGTGTCCTGGTCAAGATCAGGGAAGGGTCTGGGGGAAGAGGTCCTGGGCCAGGAGGGAGTCCTGTTCTCTGAGGTCACCCGGGGACCAGGCTCCTCCTATGCCACTCCCTCCTCCGGCCACATGCTGAGGCTGATCGCCTGTCCACGGTCTAGGAACAGTAGGGCTCCACCCTGTCCATCACGAAGCACCTGCACCAGGACTGCGTGCCCAGCCAGTGGCTTGGCAGGAGGGAGTCTGGACATCAGCAGGGCCCTTCCTGCTTGGGGAGGGAGAAGCAGGGGGTGCCCCACAGTGGTTATGGAATGCCAGCTGGGAACTGCTCAGGGCAACTCAGGCTGAGTCCCACACCCGGTTCCTTTTAGCCTGGCTGAAATTCCGGCAAAGTCATCTTCTCATGATCTCTCCCTTCCTGGTACCACGTGGGACACGCTCTCTCCGGCCTTCCTCAGTCTCTGAGCAGCTCTCTGGCTGTGCCCCAGATGACGTCACCGCTTACGTCTGCAGGCATTAATTCAGTTTGCACAGCAGACCTACATTCTATATCTGTGGGAAGCTAATGGCCTACACCAGACGTTGTTAAATGTTACTACAACTCTGGAACAGTCCCAGTCCACCACCTATTTTCATCAGCAAAGTTTATTTATTTATTTATTTCAAAGACAGAGTTAAACAGAGAGGTGGAGACAGAGAGAGGTCTTCCATCTGCTGGTTCACTCCCCAAATGGTCGAAATTGCCGGAGCTGAGCCGATCCGAAGCCAGGAGCCAGGAGCTTCTTTCAGGTTTCCCACACAGATGCAGGGGCCCAAGGACTTGGGCCATCCTCTGCTGCTTTCCCAGGCACGTTAGCAGGGAGCTGGATCAGAAGTGAAGCAGCCCGGACTTGAGCCAGTGCCCATATGGGATGCCAGTGCTGCAGGCCAGAGATTTACCTGCTGCGCCACAGCGCAGGCCCCATAAATAAAGTTATATTGGAACACAGTCACACTTACTCCTTTAGAGATCACCTCTCGGTGCTTTTCACATTACAAGAACAAAGGGAGGCGGCAAGCACTGTGGTATAGCAGGTAAAGCTGCTGCCTGCAGTGGCAGCATACCACATGGGCGCCGGTTCAAGTCCAGGCTGCTCTACTTCTGAACCAGATCTCTGCTATGGCCTGGGAAAGCAGAAAATGGCCCAAGTCCTTGAGACCCTGTACCCATGTGGGAGGCTTCAGATCAGATCAGCTCCAGCCGTTGTGGCCATTTGGGGATTGAGCCAGTGGATGGGAGATCTCTCTCTGCCTCTGCCTCTCCGTAAACCTGCCTTTCAAATAAATAAATCATTTTTTAAAAGATTTATTTATTTATTTATTTGAAAGTCCAAGTTACAGAGAGAGAGAGAGAAAGTCTTCCATCTGCTGGTTCACTCTCCATTTGTTCGTAATAGTTGGAGCTGTGCCAGTTTGAAGCCAGGAGCCAGGAGCTTCTTCTGGGTCTCCCACATGAGTTCAGGGGCCAAGGACTTGGATCATCTTCTACTGTTCTCCCAGGTCATAGCAGAGAGCTGGATCGGAAGTGGAACAGCTGGGATTCGAACCTGTGCCCATATGGGATGCCAGCTGCAGGCAGTGGCTTTACCTGCTATAGCACAGTGCCAGCCCCAATAAATAAATCTTAAAAAAAAGGGGGGGGGGTTTCTGTAAGAGAGACTAGCTGGCCTGCAAGACCTACAGTATTTACTGTTTGGTCCTTTTTGGCAAAAGTTTGCTAACCCTTGACCTAGACTTGGGGATATTATTTTCCACTGTAGAGCTTTTAAACTGTGATCTTTATTCAGCTGATGGCCTAGAATTCCTCTAAGACTTGATCTCTGGCTGCCTGGGCAGCTTCCCTGGCCCGTGGTACAGGCACCTGCTGTTCATCTCACTACTCCACCTTGCTCAGCCTTGGGCTGGGGCTGGCCTCTGGGAAACGCACAAGTGTTAAGACCTAAGTCAAGAACCTACTGCAGAGGCCGGTGCTGTGGCATGGTAAGTAAAGCCGCTGCCTGCAGTGCTGGCATCCCATATGGGCACCAGTTCGAGTCCTGGCTGCTTGCTCTACTTCTAATCCAGCTCTCTGCTTTGAGCCTGGGAAAGTAGTAGAAGATGCCCCAAGTCCTAGGGCCCCTGCACCCCCATTAGAATACCTGGAGGAAGCTCCTGGCTTCGGATCGGCGCAGCTCCGGCTGTTGCAGCCAACTGGGGAGTGAACCAGCAGATGGAAGACCTCTCTCTGCCTCTGCTCTCTCGCTGCGGACTGTGAACTCCTTGTTGACTCAGGCACAGCGCCCAGACCTCACTGGGATTCCTTCTGTAGCTTCACAGTTGGGCAGCTTTGCCTTTACCTGCACGATGACTGGGACTGGGCACCATGATCTCCACAGAGCCCAGCGAACCTAAAGGCCTTAATCTGGCCTTGTGCTGCTAACCGTGACACCACGAATTTGTTATCTGCCTTCCCACAGGGAATACATACTTTGTTTTTAAAAAAAAATCTGGCCTGAGCCAGCGCTGTGGCATAGTGGGTAAAGCCATCGCCTGCAGGGCCAGCATGCCATATGGGCGCCGGTTTGAGTCCCAGCTGCTCCACTTCTGATCCAGCTCTCTGCTGTGGCCTGGGAGAGCAGTAGAAGATGGCCCAAGTCCTTGGGCTCCTGCACTCGTGGGCGAGACCTAGAAGAAGCTCCTGGCTCCTGGCTTCGGATTAGTGCAGCTCCATCCGTTGCGGCCAATTGCGGAGTGAACTAGCTGATGGAATCTCAATCTCTCTCTCTCTCTCTCTCTCTCTCTCTCTCTCTCTCTCCCCTTCTCTCTCTGCCTCTCCTTCTCTCTTTGTGTAACTTTGACTTTCAAATAAATAAATAAATCTTTTTTAAAAAATTTAAAAACTATCTGGTAGCCAGTGTAGTGGTATAATAGGTAAAATCACGGCCTACAGTGCTAGCTAGCATCCCATAAGAATGCTGGTTCGATACCCGGTGCTCCACTTTCGATCCAGCTCCCTGCTAATGCACCTGAGAAAGCAGTGGAAGATGGCACAAGTCCTTGGGCCCCTGTACCCAAGTGGGAGACTCCGAAGAAGCTCCTGGCTCCTGGCTTCAGCCTGGCCCAGCACTGGCTGTTGCGGGCATTTAGAGAGAGAACCAGCAGATGGAAGATCTCTGTCTCTGTATCTCTCTGACTTTGCCTTTAAATAAAAAAATAAATGGCTGTTGCGGGCATTTAGAGAGAGAACCAGCAGATGGAAGATCTCTGTCTCTGTATCTCTCTGACTTTGCCTTTAAATAAAAAAATAAATCTTTTTTAAAAAATTTGGTTTCCTGAAACAGTGCTTAAAGGAAATAAAACTGAATTGAAAGCACTCCCAGGTCTCTGAGGACGGTACCTGACACAGAAACACGGCCCTGGAGGGAATGTTCTTCAGAACAGAAACAGGATTCAACTGTTCATTTTAACAAGAGCTTTCAGTGCTCAGAAAGCAAGGACTGAATGGCGCTGAGAGAATCAGCTCCATGCGTGAGATGTGACGGACACGAGTTTATTACTTCTTCCCTGCTCTCACCATCGTGTCTCCAACAACTCAAACAAACACAAATTCCTGCCCTGTGTGCAGACACTGGGGCTGGGCAGCCGTCCTGCAGAGTCAAGCAGTACTGGGCCGAGACACTAGCAGGTGGTGCCTGGGGGTACTGCCTGCTCCTGGGGGCTGCGACCCAGCTGACCCCCCGACCCTTTGCTGGGCCTCCCTCTCGAAAGCTCGGCCATGAACTGGATCTCTTGTGCCCAGTTCCCTCCACGCAAAATCCAGCTCCTGCAGCTCCATCAAGGCAGCCAACCCTTAACCTCTTTCACTCGGATGTCATCAGGCCCCAGTAACTCCCCCTCAGCAGGAAGCTCCTCGGAGCCCCCGTCTTCCTGTGGATGACTCCAGCCAACCCGCAGCTACAGATGAACGCAGCAAGCCATGCAGGAGGCACGAGGGTGAGGTCTGTCCCACAAGACCCCAACCACAAAGACTCCAACTCCAACGCCAGCCTCTATTCTGAGAGCTTCCCAGGAACTCCAGGACCTGATCAAATAAGGCACAGCCAGCCTGGGCCTGGACCCCAGAGGGCCCCATTTGCCAACACAAAGCAAACACTGGCGCCTATCACTGACCAATCAGTGGAAGGCCATGGGCACTGTGGACCAACCGGAGACCTGCTCACCAGCTACTCACCCACTCCCCACCCCTGGGAGCTGAGCAGTAGCTGCCTGACTCCCTGCCGTGCACATCACAAAAGCAGCACCTGCCTTCTCCCAGCACCCGGCATCAGGGTATCAGCGGCTGGCCAGCTGTGCAGCAGGCACATGGACGCAGTTTCCCAAGAGTTCTAGAACCTGACCACCCTTCCCCTGAAATCTCCCTTTCGGAGACATCACTGTAGGAGATTTGGCAACAGCTTCCTTCGACTGATGGGTTTTTCTGGTGGTTTCTTGGGAAACTCAGCGTTGACTTCTTTCTACACTGCTTTCAGATATTTCAACTTGAAAAACTACAAAGGTGTAGACTATGTGTAGGTTAGGCTTGATTTTATTTTGGATACAGAACCACACCTGCACACAGAGGAACATGATTAAACTTTCTTTCTTTTTTTTTTTTTTTTTTTTTTTTTTTGACAAGCAGAGTGGACAGTGAGAGAGAGAGACAGAGAGAAAGGTCTTCCTTATGCCGTTGGTTCACCCTCCAATGGCCGCCGCGGCTGACGCGCTGCGACCGGCACACCACGCTGATCCGAAGGCAGGAGCCAGGTGCTTCTCCTGGTCTCCCATGGGGTGCAGGGCCCAAGGACTTAGGCCATCCTCCACTGTACTCCCTGGCCACAGCAGAAAGCTGGCCTGGCCTGGAAGAGGGGCAACCGGGACAGACTCCGGCGCCCCGACCGGGACTAGAACCCGGTGTGCCGGCGCCGCAAGGCGGAGGATTAGCCTGTTGAGCCACAGCGCCGGCTATGATTAAACTTTCAAATGCAGCTCATTAATGCTAATACTCCCTGAGTGTAATATTTTACACTCAGGATTACAAATAAGAATTGTAGAGTTGATTATAAATTTTTAGTTTCCTCTCTAAATTGAGCTGTGAATGTAAGAGAAAGAAAGTAGCTGCTTCATTCCTGCAGCAAGTATGTATTTAATGCCTACTACAGTATTACATCTTAGTGGAAGGAGGCAGAGAACAAATGCATTAACAGACACTAGAGGGAGTAAGAGATGCTCAGTAGACAACAGTTAGTTAAAAATCACCAGCAAATCGTGACCCAAAAAGGGAAACGTCCAAAGGAGGAAGAAAAAAAAAAAAAAAAAAAAAAAATCTCTCCACCAAGCATCTGGTAAACCTGATAGCTCTGCTGTCTAGAAACACAACACCAGGCTGGAGGAACATCCACCTGAGGGGTGGGGGAGTGGCAGCGAGAAGGACTGAAGATTGCAGCGGCCATGGCTGGGGCCATGGAGTCAGCTGGGGAGAGCAGATTCCACCCTGCAGCTGGCTCCTGGGGAACAGGACCTTTCAATGAACCTGCGCTGTGGGCAAGGAGACACCTACTGAGTGTAAGAGGAGGGAGCTTTGTGTCTTAGGGCCTCTCCCTGCAGGTAACACCTAGCATGGGAGTGAAACGCATCGCCCTTTTCATCAGTGACAATCAAGTCTGCTAGCAATCAAGTGATGTGATTGACAGCCACGCATAAATCTTCGTATAAACCTGAGGCAATGGGTGAGCCCACCCTGTACAAATGGATGAAACCAGGGACCGAACTCAGGCACAGGCGGCTCAGGCGCCTGGCAGGTTGTTTCCAGGTGTAAACCCTCAGTGTGACCAGCTGGACAGATGTCAGCCTGATTCTCTACGTAGATTCTGATGACTTCAGCTGACACGTACAAAGTGACATTCAGACACACTTGGGGATGAATGCCAGCCATTGTCTTCTTAAAAAGATCCGTGGTGTTTGTACGTAAAATATTACACTTAATGCACACTAAGTAGAGAGTTTGTGATGGATGCCCAACTCTGTAAATAAAGGCCAGCGGCGGGGGAAGACAGTGTTCTGTAACCGGGAGAGTCTTACAGGGCAGTCTCTTGTCAGGGGCTAAGCCAGAGTGGCCCTCTGTACAGAAAGCGATTTGGAATTAATTAGGCAGTGACATTACCATTTGACATTTAGAAAATAAAATTAAGGAGTTGTATAAATTTCCCCTGTTGAAAACAAAACCACCTTGGAGTTAACCATCGGATTCCCAGGTAGTGATGACAGCCCTCCGCCAGGCTGAAGGGAGGGATCCCCGCCGAGGGGCTTCTGGGGTCTTGAAGGCTCCCCCCACGGCTGTCCTCCAAGGACACCTGAGAGCTAACAGCGGCCTGGCCCTCTAGCACAGTCACTGTCTCCCAGGCGGGGTCCTGCCTGTGCAGACAGCAGCTAGGACCCCAGGAAGGGAGGCCCACTTTATATTTAAACCTGCTCAGGTCCTCAAGTTCTCCACCAGTGACTCATAAAACAAGCCAGAAAAAAACACCCTACTTATTTTAGGAAATGTCTGGGGAGTGCATTTTTTAAAATCCCTCTCTGTGTAAATGTCTCCACTGTGAGCTCATCCACCGAATCCAGATCTCGACCTGCGATGCCCCCGCGGCTGCGGGCTCTCGGCTGCCGGCATTCCCAGCGCTCAGTGCGAGAGGGTAAGGACGAGGGAGAACCACACAGGGGCATTCTGTTAGCTTTTATTTTATTAATTAATTGGGGGATAAGCTGAAACTGCCCTCTGCTCTGGTACTGGGCACCGTGACCCTTCTCCTGGGCCCTGAGCCCCCTGTTAGACACCTGCCCCTTCCCCTGGGCCCTGAGCCCCCCTACTAGACACCGTGCCCCTTCCCCTGGGCTCTGGCCCCCCTACTAGACACCGTGCTCCTTCCCTTGGGCCCTGACCCCCCAACTCCAAACCCAGTGTAAATGGCAGAGATTAGAAAATCAAAGTGTGACTATCAATACTTGGATTTTTTTCCCTAGACTTTTCCTGTTTCTGTTAACCCTTGGACCTAACAAACCTGTGCTTTGGATGCAGATACTGAGTTGGGAAGGGAGCGAAGGCAGAAGCACAGCTCTGGGCAGGCAGGAGCCCGGGACAGCACCAGGCGCAGGGTTCTGGGGTCACAGCAGTATCCCGGCAGAGCAGCGGCTGTGGCTGAGGAAGCCCCCAGAGAAGCTCCGCCTCCAACGCCCCTCTGCTTAACCACTCGATGCAGCTGTGCTCACAGATAAACTGCTCTAAAAGTACAGATTCAAGAATGCTAACAACTGATTACTAACAACTAGGAAAAAACAATGCGAGCCCATCAGATAAGTTATCTGAGTCTCCCTCCAGAAAAAGAATTACTGAAATGGACACATGTAATCTTTGCAATGAGCTGAAAGAATCGGGTGTGTCTTTTCCTTCCAGTTTTGTTCTTATTGATTTATTCTTGATAGTCCCTTTTCCGCTATGATTTGAAAGCAACTAAAATAAAATTAAAATGGGTGAGAGACACATGATGCTAGGGACACCTTCAGCTTCTAGGCCCAGGCTCACAACAAGAACTCTTCAGGTTCAATTTGTTACCATGTACCCGACTTTCTCCCCAAGTAACTTAACACAGAGCTAAAGCATAAACCAGCACCCGCCTTCTCACCCAGCGCAGCTGACTGTAAGCTACGCCACCCAGAAGCGCACTGTTCCTTGCTCTGCACTGCAGGGAGAAGCCGCGGTCGCCAGCTCCCTCCTGAGCAGCAGGGGCGCCTCGCCCGCCCCCGCGGCCCCGCGCACCTGGTTCTGCTTGAGCGTGGACACGAGCTTCTGCAGCGTGATGTTCTCCTCCTCCAGCTCCGTGTAGTCCTGCAGGAGCCGGGCCTCCCGGAACTTGTACTCGCGGATCTCGTCCTTCATCCGCGCGCGCTGCAGCTCCAGCACCTCGCCGTTCTGAAACCACACAAGAGAGTCCGCTGAAAACCGCGCTAGCCCGGGGCTCCGCAAGCGGACATGCGTGCAGTCCTGGGCCACGATCCACAGCAACATGACCGCCTCGAGTGGAATGGGCACCGCCTTCAGTGAATGGCAATCTGGTCACAGTCGCCTAAAATCCCAACAATCTGACAGCTGGAAAATCATCCTTAAATGGATATTCAGACGTAAACAAATGGAGCAATAAATCCATGTGTTCTCACACACAGAGAATTGGAAATCATCTAAATGTTCACCCTGGGAGAACGAGGAAACAGATTCTGATGCACCCCCCAAATGCAGTATTATAAAGTTATTGAAAAGAATGGGGTCAACCTCAATGTCCTTAAGTGGAAATATGTCCACAATGTGTTATCAGATGTAGAAGTTACAATGCTAGTCAGTATCAATGTACGTAGGTGGAAATATGTCCACAATGTATTGTCAGATGTAGAAGCCAAGTTAAGATGCTAGTCAACATCATTGTACTTAAATGGAAATATATCCATAACATATTACCAGATGTAAAGTCAGGATTCATCAGATTGGCTTCTATTTGAAAGAGAAACGTGTGTGTGTGGCTGGGGAGGGAAGACTGTGAAAGCTGGAGAGCACATTTTCTTATGCAGTGTTTGTATATCTCCGCGGGAGGGAAAAAGCGAACCTTGATCACGTGTCCTCAGGCCGTAATTTGCTGACAGGACTCACAAGGAACACACTGCTGCTGTTTGCAACAGGAATTAATCTCACTCACGCACTGCTGACTGAAATACAGGTGCTTGAGAAAACTGTATCCTGTGTGATTCTGTACATACAGAGTCCAGCCACCTGCTGGGCAGGTTAAATCATCTCCCCAGCAGGGCATGGGTCAGGCGTAACTCCTGGGTCTTTACAAAGGCAAAAGTAACAATGAAGTCATTAGGGTGGGCCAATCCAATATTGCAGTGTCCCTGGGGAAGACCCAGGAAGAGACATGGGGAAGAGATGGCCCTGGGACCAGAAGGCAAAGACTGGAGTGAGGCCAAGGAAATGGCCAGCATTAGCAAAAGCTGCAGGAGGAACGGACAGCTGCTTCCTAGTGCTGTCAGAGGGTGCTCAGCCCCGCTGACACCTTGAACTTGGACATCTGACCTGCAGAACAGAGGGGCCTAAAAGACTGCTCTTTTAGGCCACTCATCAGTAGGGAAGCCAACCGCCCAGTGATACCCGGGCAGGTGGGGGCATGACTGCCACAGGCACTGGACACCGTTACAGGGCCCTGTCCCGAGGGAGGCTCACTCTAGGAGGAAACCTGGTTGTCCTGAGAGCCTCAGACGCCCCCCGTCCGGCTTCTCTTGTACACATCTTACCTGCAAACAGTCTCCTGTGGCCCTGACCTCCCGTCTCCCCTCTGCTTGATCTGATGCCTACGTATAGCTCGCCCTGCCTCCATGAAACCAACAAATTACAACCTCAAAACCTGTTCATGTAAAAATGATAAACCCAGCTCCAAAATCTCTGACCCACGTCCAGCTGACACAGAGGTCATCCCAAGGCAGACACTCTCAACAGTGATGAGCTCAGCATCGCGGAGGATAGGGCCGTTAACTCTGCTGAGAAGACAGACTGTCAGAGGACAATCGTTCTCGCACTTGCTGCAATAGTAAGGCAACCTTCACTCCAGACCATCACAAGTGGAGGGGAGACGGGTCCAGCTCAACCCTGACGGCAGCAAAGGCAAGGAGGGGGCTGACGCCCAAGGAGCAGGGGACACGATTCGGGTTAAGTGTACACACAGGACTCCTGCCAAAGGCAGTCCCAGAACGGACACATCAGAAAGAGGAGGGAGGCGCAAGCGTTGTGGTGCCTGGGCTAAGCCTCTGCCTGCGCTCCAGCATGCCACATGGGCACCGGGTTGTGTCCTGGCTGCTCCTTTTCTTTCTTTTTTTTTTTTTTTTTAAGATTTTATTTATTTATTTGAAAGGCAGAACTACAGAGAGGCAGAGACAGAGAGAAAGGTCTTCCATCCGCTGGTTACATCCCAAGTGGCCACAACAGCCAGAGCTGGGCCAATCTGAAGCCAGGAGCCAGGAGCCTCTTCCAGGTCTCCTATTGCTTTCCCAGGCCATAGCTGTTAGTAAGATGGTGCCGTCTTATCTGTGGAGCCATCTATGACCTGACACCATCCTAGGCTCTAGCCCCCGCTTCCACTGCTGGAAGCCAGGTGACCAGATGGCCCAACCACAGGTATCAGCTCCACCCCCACCCTACTCGTACTTCCCTGCCCCTCCCCCCCTGCAAAGGTACAACAGGACCTGCTTCCCACACACCCGCTCTCTCTCCAGATCTCTCTCACTCTCTTTTTTCTTCACTTTTTTTCTCTCTCTCAAACCCCCCATCCTCTCTTTTTTTTACACCTTCCCTCAGGCCTACAGGATTTCCCCCGTCAATTGACCCTTTCCCTTAACTCCAGTGTTTAGTGTGTTTTGTGGTGGCCTTAAATAGCAGAGAGCTGGATCAGAAGTGGAGCAGCTGGGACTCAAACCGGCTCCCATGTGGGATACTGGCACCACACAGCTTTACCTGCTACACCACAGGCTCCTCTTCTGATCCAGTGACGCCAGTGACCTTGGATTGGCTCAGCTCTGGCTGCTGTGGCCATTTGAGGAATGAACCAGCGGACAGAAGACCTTTTTGTCTGTCTCTCCTCTCTCTGTAGTTCTGCCTATCAAATAAATAATTCTTAAAAAAAAAAAAAGGTGAGGGAAGAAGAACTCGATCAGGTAGCAGGTGATCAGGTATCATGGGTCATAGGATGCCTTAAGATGATTCTCTTCTAAGCCTGGACTGGTCAGGATAAAGACAGGATGTGGGCTGGGGAGGACAGGCCAAGACTGAGCCCTCATCTAAGCTAGTGATCAGTGGGGTGTGACCACATTTGGTCACAGTCGGTCAAGAGCCGAGGTCCGATGAGGATGAAAGCAGAAACGGTGTGCAAGACTCGTGCCTCGGAGACACGTGACTCTAACTCCTAACCGGGCAGGGAGGGCTAAGGCCCTGAGGACATCAGATGTTTATCTACTCTGCACCCTGTCATTCGCAAAGCTCAAGACTGCATCCCTGTCACGTGATATCCTGTGGAATGTAATCAATCCCCAGGCTGCCCAGCCTAACCGGTGACCTTAGAAACGCACTCTCCGAGGTCAGAGCTCCTTGCTTAGCCAGCTGCCTCCAGACCCGCTGGCTTTTCTCACTTCAGCTCTCACTTTGTCAACAGCTCAGTAATTCTTCCAAGCCTGCCCTCAAAGACTCTCAGCCAAGCTCAGCGCACAGTGCTGAGACACAGGACGGGTTACTGCTTTAAGCTCCTGAATTTGGGGAGCCCTCGGTTACACATAACGAATACAGTGATAGGTGTGGCAGATGGAAGCAAAACCACAATTTCAAAGCAGGGATGATATTTCAAGATACCTGTGAAAGCAGAGACGTGATAAGAAAACATGCAAATCCGCACTTTCTGTTGATTGGCAAGTAATAGATGCTGGGAATGCTACAGGAGTTTGTTGTCCTTATTCAAATGGAAGAAAATGCTAAATTTCAGTTGAGTGATAATTAGAAAGATCTAATTATCTTTTCTCTCCAAGTGTAAAAGCTTCCTGAATCCTACCCAAAGACTCCCAGAATCTCGGAGAACTCTACTTTTTCTTTTCTTTTTACAAAGTTTTTATTTATTTATCTAAAGGCAACTGACAGAGGGGAGAGAGGGAAGGAGGGAGAGAGATCTTTCATCTGTTGGTTCACTCCCCACAATGGCCAGAACAGCCAGGGCTGGGCCAGGCCAAAGCCAGGAGCCACAACTCCATCCAAGTCTTGCACGTAGTGGCAGGGGTGCAAGTACTGGGGCCATCAGCTGCTGTCTCTCAGGTACTTTACAGGAAGCCGGATTAGAAGTGGAAGCCGGGGGCTGGCACTGTGGTGTAGCAGGTCAAGCCACCATCTGTAATGCCAACATCCCATCCGGCTCCCACTGTGCCCTGGGGAAAGCAGCAGAAGATGGCCCAAGTTCTTGGGCCCCTGCCACCTAAGTGGGAGACCCAGACGGAGCTCCGGGCTTTGGCCTGGCCCAGCACTGGCCATCTGGAGAGTAAAATAGCAGATGGAAGATCTTCTCTCCCTCCCTCTCTGTAACTCTTTCAAATAACTAACTCTTTAAAAAAAAAAAAAAAAGAAGAGGAAGCTAGACTTGACCCCACATCCAATATTCCAATATTATACAGGGGCAGCCCAAGCAGCGGCTTAGTGTACTATGCCACAACACCTGCCCAGAAGGGGCTTTTTCTACCAGCCATTTAGGTCTCAGTTGAAACGCCAAATTCTCAGAGAAGCATTCCCTGAACAGTGATAGAAAACAACTCCCCTCCAATCACTGCATGGTTTACTTTACAACTCAGTGTTTACCATAGAATATGTACTGAAAATAACTGGTGGGGGAACAGCACTAACGCCAAAGCTTAACACTGGCTGTTGACTTTGTATTTTCTTTTTTAAAGATTTATTTATTTGAAAGTCAAAGTTACACAGAGACAGAAGGAGAGGCAGAGAGAGAGAGAGAGAGAGAGAGAGAGAGAGAGAGATCTTTCATCCACTGGTTCACTCCCCAGATGGCTGCAACGGCTGGAGCTGTGCCAATCGGAAGCCAGGAGCCAGAAGCTTCCTCCAGGTCTCCCACACAGGTGCAGGGGCCAAGGACCTGGGCCATTTTCTACTGCTTTCCCAGGGCCATAGCAGAGAGCTGGATTGGAAGTGGAGCAGCTGGGATCTGAACCAGCACCCATATGGGATGCTGGCACTGCAGGCAGCAGCTTTACCAGCTATGCCACAGCGCCAGCACATATTTTTGTATTTTCTACACTTCCTACATTTCCTCTCACATCTGAATACAATGAACCTTTTCTGTCTTGTCCATGGCTGTGCCTATAACCACTGGCACCTTTTAGGCC